CAAAAAACAAACAGACAAAGACTAACAGAATATTCATATTCACATTGTAATGGTTTTTTTTTGTTGTTTCAATTTTAATGGTTTGAGATGGTTTAGGGAGACAGCAAACTATGGTTGAGAAGCACTGATCTTAGTATCTCAATAACCTCAGTACAGCTAGAAATACACAAGAGTATCATGTCATCATCAGACTTTACTAGTTAACTAATTATCCCATTATCAGTGTCAATAACATTGATAAGAATGAGCAAAGACCAAAGCACTGACATCTCGGGCATTCCACTAGTAATAATTTCCCTGTCAAATTGGACTCCATTAATAAAATCTTTTTCTCTAATCCAACTGCATTACAATACAATTAACTAGTCTTTCCCCAATCCATGCTGTAAAATACTGATATGTAATGCCTAGTATCACTTTGGGTCTGCTGTTTTGTGAAATAACGTGGTCATCAAGGTACCATTTGGGTCACACATTTAATGTCAATGGTAACCCATTGATTAGCATTAGTGAAGAAAATGATCTTGGAATAGTGGTATACAAGTTACTCAAGCTTTCGTGACTGTGCTCTGTTACTAGTAATAAAGGTAATAGAATTTTAGGATGTGTTTATAGACATGTTAATTACAAATTAAGAGAGATAATCTCTCTAAAAAATCATGAGTTAGGCCTTGCATAGATCATTGTGTACAGTTTTGGTATCCTTATCTAAGAAAGGATATTGACTTGTTAGGAAAGGTTACTAGGATGGTTCTAGGGAGGGGAAGGTTGTCCAATGGGTTAAAATCTCTTAATTTATTTTCTCTGAGTTTACAAGTTTATTCAGGGAATTCATAGGATAAGAGCCTCAGATACCTTCTTGTTATAATCTGGAGAAAACAGGATGAGAGGACACAAGCTTAAGATTTGGAAAACATAGGCTAGGTTCTTTTAACAAGGTGATTAACTTATGGAATGAGCTGCCATTAGCATTAGTGGAGGTTGGCATGTTATGTGAATTTAAGTGGGGAATCAGTGAATTCCTGAAAACTAAAGGATGGTTTAAAATTGTTATTTTTACTTTTCCTCAGGAATGGGTGTGCAAAGACTGCCTTGAAGTGTGAAAAAACAAATGACCTTCTGTTGTATGCATGTTAAGTTCAAGGCTGTACCTGCACACCCCTCCTGGAGAAATAGGTAACCAAAAACATTGAGTATAATCATCCATGTAAAATACATGGCAGACCCTGGCAGAAAATAGTAGCAGTTGTAATACTGATGGTGTTTTTAAGTTTTTGCTTTTTTTTTTTTTTTGTGTGTGTATATGACTTGTTTTATTAGGGACCTTATAACTAACTATGTAATGGCCCCATAAGTAGTTTGGTGTGAAAATAATTTGAAAAATGATTTTTTAAAGTAGATTGTCTATAAGGTCGAATGTACCCTACTTTATATTTTTTTATCTTGCTTTGTAAAGAGCTGTAGATAATATTTATTAATCAAATTAGTTTTTTGATGTATTTGATAGAAAGTAATTAACCAACAGGCTTTACAAAATAGAAATAGGGATAAGTCTATTTTGATCCCCTTTGGACATTCCCCATAGTTCATAGTTTACGTACAAATTTTTGTTGAGATTGGCCCAATAGGCTCGGAGGAGTTAGGGTGCAACAAACACACATTTCATCTTTATATATGTATAGATATTTGAGAATCATAATACCTCTATAAAACTGATGAATGCTCATTAGCACACTATTAATTTGATACTACTATTACAGGAATGATACTTGCTTAAAAGAGTAGAGAGAATTATACTGGTTTTAAGAAATTTGAGCATAAAAACTTGAACTTGTTTTCACTCAAAACAAATTGTGGTGGCTTGAAGCATTCAAAAATGTTAAATTCTTATAAAAAGTGTATGGGTTGTGAAATGATAAATTTAAATGCAATGGTGTAGTGAAACTGCAACAGACTGGAGCCCGATTGTTTACTTTTTTTTGTACTTTAAATATGAATTTATACAGATAATATTTTATGGTGTAGATATGCTATGTAAACTACAGTTAATTTATCAGTTACATGTTTATGAGTTTTGATATACCAGTTAGCTGTAACTACGTATTTTATAAGTTAATTATAAACAAATTAAGTACGGGAAATGCAGCCTACATGTGCATGTATAATTAAAGAGTGGGAATTAAGATTGAATTGATGGTCTGGCACAAAAAAGTTAATACAGCATCACTGGTCAGATGTAGGGACACTAAATACAGGCCTAAGAAATGCAGATCTAGACTATTTTTTGGTCCCCTGGTGGGTCAATTGTAAGTGTACAGATCTACAATGCTAAAATATAGGGTTTGACTCTCTGTGGTAGAGAAAGTGCAGATATCCCTTGTGTACCATTTTTCTAGAATGGGTTTTTTTTACTTGGCAGATGACACTACTTTGTTGAATATACACACTACTGCAATGGTATGATTTGTATGTGCTGTTATTTCAAAATGACATTCAAACTCTTGATGGAAAGATAGTTATATTTGAGGTTGTTTGGAATGTAAAGGCTAATTGACCTTTTTTTTTGTTGTGTGTGTGTGTGTAACAGGTAAAAAGAGTCTGTCTGTTACTTGAGAACAGAACATTGATTACCTACTTCTTGTTCTGCTACTCAAGCTATCAGCAGTCAGGCTTCTTTTCTGTTAAATATATTATATAGTGTTTCTTGAGTAAATTGAGACTCCCACACATGTTTATTCTCTAAAAGTACTACTTGTAGGAAGGGATACCAGCTTTAACTAATTTGCTTATGAAAAAACAAAACAAAATGATAGGCTATTCATTTTGATGAGGCCATCTGATATCCCCAGGTAGGAGCAAAATATACTAGTGAGCTATTAAGTATTAATCCTACGGAGGCCATTTGATACCTCCAGTGGGAACAAAATAATGTTGGGCTATTTATCTCGTTAAGCCATATGATATCCCCGTGTGGGAGATATCTGTTATTTCAACAGAGATTTGTCATTATAATAATTTCCAAATAGTTGGAGTTTAAGTAAATGTGTATATTAACAGTAACTTGTATAATATTTTTTCTATGGAACTAGTAAATTTTTAACATTAATGCTGCAAGACACTATATTTTACCGTATTTTTAAGATCTTTCTGAATTGGCAGGGTTGTAGCTATGGTGGGCAGCAGTCGTGGCTGCCCAGGACTCATTCTGCCCACCCAGCACTCCCTCCTTGCAATGTGATTACTGCTGCCTGGCACTAAATATCATTGGGAAAGAATTCATCATAAGCACAAAAAATTTCTTTGCTAATATTGCAGTGCAGCTTACTTTGCAATTAGCTTGTTAGAAACAAACACTTTTCCAGAAACATCCACAGGAAAAAAACTGCATGTGAAACAAACAGCCCATGCCATGTTAATTCAGTTGTACTTAGCATGGCACATCAGACAATATAATCCACAGTGGATTCCATACAAAGCCAATTTTCTTTCTAGTAAAAAGTTAATGTGGTGTGTAAAAATATTTTCGGAATTTTACAGATATCTAAAATATAAAAGTATATCGATGTGTTTTTCCAAAAAACGTTTTTAATCTCATTTGTATAAATTACCTGCTGTTAAAGATAGATCAATCAGAAAAATAAAACTCAGCTTAGAGTAAAATTTGTCTCTACCTTTATTTTTTTAGACTTGTCGTTCACACTTGTAACATGTTAGCCTAATGACTGCTCATTTGGAGTGTTTTATTGGACTTTCCTAATGAATTTACAATTTTTCAAAGCCATTAAAATTATAAACATGAAAATAATATTTATTTTTTTGCCTGTCCGAGGGGGGGGTATGGTGGTGGTATCTGCAGGCACGTACATCTGTGGGCTAGACTGGTTTTTATGATTCACCATTCAAATCATCTTAGCTACAACCGTGTGAATTGGTATCCTGTAAAGTTGTTTGACCTATCAAGAACATCAAGCAAACACAAGCTAAAAAAACCTAAGCTATCACTACAAGCTTTATCATAAAGTTATACTTGAGAGAAACATTTAAATGTGCTTTTCTTTGTATAATATAAATTTTAAACCTAAAGACAGATCTTGGTTGTTCAGTATTTATATTTAAAATTTAAAATTTTTATGTTATGCATAAGGTATTAGTTTGTCAATTAACCTTTTACATGGTATCTTATCAAAATATGCAATGTCTTCTAGGTTATAATCTAATTCACATTTTACTAAACCTACTCTTGACATTTTGTTTGATCATTAAGGTACATATTTTGAAGGCAGTAAGACACTTGTTTGTAATAGTTCCATAAGCAATAAGATATTTGTTGGTGATAGTTTGGTAAGCAGTAAGATACTTATTGTTAACAGTTTGATAAACAGGAAGGCATTTGTTTGTAATTGTTTGGTAAGCTGTATGATACTTAGTTTTAATATATTATTAAGTAGTGGTAATAGTACTTTTTCAGGTTTTATTTCTATTCAGTCTCTATTATTTAAGTTATTACTATCAGTATTATTAATAAACAAGTTGGGCAATGTATGATTTGAAATCTCTGGTGGTACATCAACCTGTTGTAAAGTTTAATGTTACTACACTTCTGTTTCTTCCTTGTAAAGCCACATTTACTTTTTCAAGGCGGGTTCAATCTATGGAGATCATATTTGAAAACCTGATAATCTTATAGATAACATTCTTGTGTTAGCTGTTGTCATATATTGCCATCTCATCTATAATATAGATTGTTAATGTATTAATCCCTCAGATGTGACTTACTGATAACTATGTTTTTCACAGTTAACAGTGTGGCAGTACACAGTTGATTTGTACCAAAAATATTTTCAAGATTTCATGAAAATCTTTATTGTTCATGTTACTTTAGTGGTAAATATGTTTCAGAATTAAAAATGCAACAATTTTTATTACTGTTTTAGTTAGTTCTGAATATATTGCATAATTCTCTACAAATTACAAGTACTTTTGTGTGATCTTTCTTGTAGATACTGAAAAAAGTAAATTTCTCAAGTCTGTTGAAGTCTTTAACATGTACAATGGAATAGGACTTCAGACACCACGGGGTAGTGGTACAAATGGCTATGTTCAAAGGAATTTGTCATTAGTTAGACGAGTGAAAGACAAAGTAAACTACAAAACAGAAGAAGACATCAAGAAACTTGATGCTTTAGCTAACAAACAACCAAATGAAGATATACTAGCCCATGAAAGGAAACGAAAAGTTGAACTGAAATGTATGGAAATGCAAGAACTGATGGAAGAACAAGGGTAAGTGTAATGATAAAATTTTGAATTAATCATTACATTAACATCAAAAGTAATAGCACTGGTACAATCTCTAAAATGTTTCTTAACCTGTTGTTCACACCTTTCAATTCACAAAATTTTCTGGGGGATGGCTGCAAGGTGTTGTTAAAATCAAATGTTTCTTAACCTGTTGTTCACACCTTTCAATTCAAAAATTTTCTGGGGATGGCTGCAAGGTGTTGTTAAAATCAAATGTTTCTTAACCTGTTGTTCACACCTTTCAATTCATAAAATTTTCTGGGGGATGGCTGCAAGGTCTTGTTAAAATCAAGGTAGCCGTACTTACAAAAGTTAACATTCATCTATGGAATTTAATGTTCTCCACCTATGTAAGTCAAAGGTATTTTTGGCTTTAAAAAGTTAAATATTGAATTTACATATACTACTGCATCTTTCTTATCTTGTTTCTTTTTTTTTATTTGTAGAACTGTGTACAAATAAACTATCACCTAGTGGGTAATGCAAATTCCAACAAGTTTAGCAAGAAACCAAACCTTTCAGTTCACATTTTCATGTCCAATGACTGTATTTGTTGTGTGATTCATAGATAAAATAATAAGAAAATATAGTTGGTTGAGTTTAATTGAATGTTTTTTCTTATTTCAAGCTGTATTATTGTCAATTAACAGTTTTGTCCATTTCAATTCTTTGTTAATATTACAAAACTTAAGTTATAACTACAATCACTAACATTCATTATTAGAGTGAAAAATTCCTGCTTAACTGTAAAAATGTTTTGCTGGTATATACAGAGATCAAAATGTCCACTTTCCTCTCATCTTTGGACTGTTTGGTTCTATCACCTTGTTAACTCGTCATTTTAAGATAAAATAAGGTGATAGTCATTCAAGTTAATTTTCAAAGATGTTTCAGTTAATCAGTACTTGCTTTATCATCCATAAAACCAATTTATTGGAATTGGGCAGTACTTATAATTGGCTTAGTGTTTGCACTGCGTACTTGCAACCTGCTTGTGGATTTTCAATAATGGGAGGTCAGATTTTTGGCTGTATGTAATTTTCCTACATCATCAGTGTCAGTTAAAATAATCAGTTAATGTTACAAACTATTCAAGGAATTGAAATATTGTCATTGTAAATTCTTACTGTTATTTTCTATTAATTCGAGGCTTGTTAGTTTAATCTGTGAGAGTCACATCTTGTGAAGATAACCAATTAAAATTTCTGTTTCCGATTATTCCAGCTATCCAAGTTTCATGTAACAATAATTGATTAATTGAATGTAATCAATGAATAAGCCTGGCAATTAATTGATTTTACAAATTACCCAGCTCTATTTACATGCGGTGCAAATTTGAATTAAAACATAAAACTACAACACTAAATTATTGAACTTTTTCATGTGACTAAATGTTGATCCCTGTTAGATTATGATTGTTTAGTCACTATTGATTTTCCTTCCAATTCCTATTTGATTATAATCTTCTATTCCTTCATTCATCAGAGCACTCTGCAGACTGTTTTGTTGCTGTGTGGACAACTTGTACTAACTCATCAGAAAATGTGTATGAATCGGAACATAAGTTTTGTTTTTTGTATGCATTAGAGCACTGGCAGACTAAAAGATGACAAGCTTTTTAAGTATTTGGATTGTGAAAGTGAAACTGATGATAAGCAAGAATCATCCAGTGACAATAAAAAGCAATAGTTATGTGTTGCAGTGTTTGTTAAAACTGCCAACAAATGGTCAAATTACTAGATATTACACTTGGGCACACTCTTGAAAATAATCAGTCAACAGTGATTGTACTGTGGCATACCCTATGCTGCATGCAACAGATCCATCATATTCAGAGAGTATTGTTTTAGGTGAGATACCTTGATAATTATGGAGTTAATTTAGTCAGCTAATATCTTGCACATGCTAGACAGAAACAAGGATATTTTTTACCATTTTTATTGAAATTTCACCTCAGAAGTGTAACACAGCCAATTAAAAAATAATAATCTAACTTTTGATCATAGTTAATCAGTATATCTTTTTAAACTGACAAACTAACTTGAAACACCTGATTAGTGAGTTGCTCATACAGAAAAAACATTTAACTTCATCTGGTAGGGAACTGTGGATTTATGTAGGAATATGTCCATAGTCAGAAAGTTTTCCTCGTAGAAGTCAGGGTCAGATAACAAAAAAAATATATTTATATAAAATGTTGGTGACATAATATTTCATTTTTAATTCCAGTTTGTGAATAGAAACAAAAGTGAGAAGGGATGTTTTGATACTTACAAAGCAGTATAAAATTGTTTGTTTGTTTTTAATTATGCACAAAGCTACACAAGGGCTATCTGTGCTCTGCCCACCACGGGTATCGAAACCCGGTTTCTAGCGTTGTAAGTCCGCAGACATACCGCTGTGCCACTGGGGGGGATTATAAAATTGTTATCTTTATTATAATACATTTTCACTGTAAAGTATGAGCATGCATTGAGCCATGTAAAAACAACAAAAATACAAGTTTAGCAAGTAGTTTTTAAAAATTGACCATTACTCTCTAGATAGTGATGAAAAAAAAAATATTTCAGCCAACATTTCATCAGGACTAGTAGTACTGAAAATATCTCTTGTACTACTAACTGTGATGAAGCAAAAGATTGGCTGAAATAAAAGTTTTTTTTATCTGGAGAGTGAGGCTTCTTTTTTGTTTTTCTAATCTTATTGCCAAAAATTTCTAAGAATCTCTATTATGAACTACTAATTGAATAAAAATGATGATTGATTAATAGCAACCATTTTAAGCAGTAATTGGCTGGTTTTCTTATAGACATGTGTATACATCTTCCACTTGTCAAACCAGGTAGCGCAAACAATCAGAATGACCTAAATGTAGCCCTTCATATTCATATAGTCTCCAACAAATGTGTAAATGCACTTAAAATAACAGTTCACATTATTGGACAGATCATTTCACAACTTTACAATTACACTCTTAACAAAGCAGTAATTTAATTTTATCTCTAATACTTAAATTCAAGTTTCCAATCTTATCAGTCCCTTACTATGACTTCTCATGAAATGTTAATTGAAGTATGAAACAGTTTTAAATATTGGAACAGGTCACTTCTAGTTCTTAAACTGTTCAAAGAAAAGATACAAAGCACCACACTAATAGCCTGTCTTTTGTATTTTCCAGGATTTTCAAATTTTTTCTCTTTGTACAGTAATATTATATTACCTTGTTATTGGTAATTCTTATGCAGTCAATTGTATAATTATTATATATTTGCTAATAGTTATTTTTTAATATTATATATTTCATACAGCTATTGTCAAGAAGAAATTGATAAAAAAGTGGCAGCGTTTCGGTTGATGTTATCAGAAAAGATAGATACAGGGGAACAGGAGGTTGCTAGAGATGATTCTGGCCGGATAATGTAAGCTATTTTCTACTGAGCTAATTTAACTTGCTGTCTAGTTTGTGATGTCAACCTGTATGCTTTATAAAATCTCTGTGGAGACTGTTGATGGTAAATGTCTATAATAAAATAAACATCGTACAGCATGTATTAAGGCCTTTGTAAAATAATGCATTAATAATTCCAGTTCTGTAACAGTTTATCTTGGATTTGATTAGCATCAAAATGTTAGTGTCTATAAAACATTTCATTTGTTACAAGATTTATATTTTTTTGCTGCCAATAGGCACCACAAAATATATGAATTATTAATGTAGGCATTATAATGAAACAGGCTGAGTTATACAATACAACTGTTATTTATATAAATTAAAACATATTTGTGGGATGCACTCTTCATGTGTTGGGACAGTGATAGTAGTGAGTGTAAGAATCATGATTAAAAGTAATTGATTTATATCTGTCAGTTTTTGTACTTGTTACAGTTGGTTAGAACTTGTATATAGTTATATTTAGCAGCAATAGATGGCAGTAAAGTTTACATGTAAATTCATGATTTTCCCACTTAACTGAAATTTGTTTATATTAATAACATGCTGACTTTTGCTCTCAATTAATTTTCATCACAATAATAACAACATATTTTCTTGTGTGTTTCACACTATTTAAGTAATTCAAATGTAAACACAACAGGTTACCAGTATTGGTATAACTGGACAGTTTAGAAAAAGATTGGCTTAAAAAAGTCAAAAGTCCTACCTGTGTGTGTGTGTATTTTTTGTAAAAATAGTTATCTTTTTGTCACAGGTGTTAGTTGCTCTAAAGGAAAATTGTTATGTATGATTACGGCTGACCTGTTTGGGAAAGTCACATTGTTAGGCCTGCTCTCTTTCTTCAACTGTTGTCAGGCTTATTATACCTAAAACTTGATAGTGGGCAAGATTGATTTCTCAGGTTTTCTTCTGTTATCCCTGTACCTGAATGATTTATTAAAAACTGTTTCAAAACAATAACATTAAATATTATGATTATCAGTCATCTCCATAAAAAAACGGTGACTTAGTTAAACACCAGTCTCAATCTTGAAAATCAAGTTATTGTGAAGTAACATGCAGAAAAAAAAACTTTCCAAGACAGTACTTCACCTCTGCACCCAGAACTGCTATTTTCTTCACGGCATCTGTCTATGTGATTTGCATGCCACTAGTCTCAAGTTAACTTTCATCTAAAATTCACGCCTTTAATGTGAACTGAGCTGGTGCATGATGATGATGATATCACATGACAGTAGCCCTCCACCAATAGGAGGGTGACACAACCTCCATGTGTAGTAACTCTTCCTATGCACTTGCATTTGAAATAACTTCATTCTTTTTCCTCTGCATTACATTTAACAGATGTATTGAAACTTCTTGTCCTAGTTAAATTTACTGAGATTGTACTCCTTAACAAACTTTGAATTTTGTTTTACATTGGGTTTAGTTTCACAAAGCATAAAGTTCTGTCATTAATTCTCAAGTAATGGTGACTTCCACTTTATCCAATGTGAGTAACAACATTACATTCATGCTTCAACTATGGCTTCTGGAAGCTTATTGACTGTTAATGATGTTATAGTCATTGTACAGCGTGTTGTGGGGTCCCTCATGCATACTGGGCCTCTTCCTCCTGTCCATTTGGCTGACATTCCTTCTCCTTAGTTTGAGAATGACCAGGTAGAAGACAAATCTGGTTGGCTCTTCATTCCACCTGGATTTGCTTTGGGTACTGCCTTACCAGTTGAAGAAAATATCCTCAACCTTCCACTATCTTTCAGGACATGATTTCTTGTGTATGTTCCTTTCTTTGTATGATTTATCCTGATTTTTACTCCATGAAATTAATACTTGGGAATACCTTGTATTTCCTCCCACACCTGATATTAGGGTTCATGCTGATTCCTTTCTTCAACAACTTCAAACCCATACCACAAGCCTTGTTTTCCTTCCCTTCTTGTTTCCTTACAGCCATTCTTCCTTTCCTAGACTTCCAGTCTTTGGAACTTCTACCTGCTTGGGGAATGTACCACTTGTCTTTTGTTTCACTCTCTAGAAATCTAGTCTTTGGAACTTCTACCTGCTTGGGGAATGTACCACTTGTCTTTTGTTTCACTCTCTAGTGCTCACTTTTTGCATATTCATATTTTTCTTACTACTCACATAGATGCCTTTACCACTCATCATTCAGCTCTGGTTATCAATGTTATCAGCCAGCATTGGTCTCAACTTTTTCTGTATGCTTATCCTCCTCTTTGACTCCTCCCTCGAGTGCTCAACTTGATGCATGACACTTCTTGTTGGGTCCTACTGGTGGTACTTCTTTGATCATCTCAACCAGAATTTTTTCTGCTTCTTCATTTGGCATCCATCCCCCCCATCCTCTAGCCAATGTCCCCCCCTTTTACTTCAACCCCACACACCCCTTTTTCATTCCAGTATCTTGTCTCTACACCTTCATGTGTGGGATTTGTTCAGTCCATCACCCTTCAGGCTTGACTCTCCAATCGTGTAACCTTCTTGTCCCATTTCTATTGACCTTCCACTTTGTCTATCAACAGAAGAGGCAGGTCTTTCTTTGTTGGTCCATCCACTGCTCCCTTCCTCCTGGCTGCCCTACTGTGAACCACGTTTTTGACTTCTTTACTTGGTTGTTTGACCATGGCTTGTTGGTCTCCGCCATTGCTGGTAATCAAGTGTCTTTATTCACTACATTTCACCTTTCCTGTTATCACCAAGTGTTTTCTTTACCTGTTCTCTCCACACTGTTCCAATCCTTTTTATCAAATCCATGCCTGACTGGGACCTTAAACTCTTGGACTATGAGCTGGGTGCATTGCACCCAGCCCATAACCATGAGAGTAACCATACTATAACTTTTGATAATATGTGTGTATCTTCACAAAATTTTGCAAATTATTGGTAAATGTTACAAGGCTTTTATACACAAAATATCAGATTTTTATCAAGTATTAAGAATTTATGATTAAAGATTTGCTCGGGAAATTTTTCTTTTGGAATGTTGACTATCCAACATGCAGCGTAATTTTTATTTTAAGATTAAAAATACTCCTCTTCTTCTGAATATTGACAAATTTCATTTGTGTAATCTCTATAACCTCGTAGATAACTATGAACATTTTTTTAGAAAACTATATTTTATCTACATTAACTGTATAGGAGGTTGGTTGTATTGACTAACCTCATATAAATCTAAATTACCTTTTTTAATTCTAAAATTACATTAAACTGTAACAGGAAACCACAAATGGTTATTCTAAATAGCTTAAATCTGGTAACATTATACATCTATTTATATTTATTAATTTCTTGTTTTATTGACCTTCAAACTGTGACTAATAATACCCCCACACAAATTGTAAATCACATAGTGCATGTGCAGCTCATGTTACCCTATCAAATAGCATAAAACTGGCCTTTATAAAGTACAAATGTCTTAGTCTTACTACTAGTGCACCAATATTTTGTAAAATACAATATCATTTTGTTTACCATACATTACATAAATTTTTAAATTTCAGTTATTTTTCTTAAAACATATAACAGTAAGTAAAAAAACATATAGAGAACAATGATTTGATCTCTACTACTTATGATGTTATGAAATTTTTTTGTACTCGCATGTTATACTTGCTAAGCCTCATCAAATTTTGCATGTGAAGGGTGAAAACAAAATATTTTTGTAGGTTTTATATATGCATTTTAAAATAAAAATTTTAACTTACTATACCGGTACCACAAAATTTCTCTAAGCTGTATTTTTATGGTCTAAAAAAATCTCATTTCTGATCAGCATATTGCCTTGATCACCACTCTACAAACACTCCAACAGTTATAATGGCTTAACCTGCTTGAATACTTTAGGGAAACTGACAGAATTAATTAGTTCAAAATGAGCACTGTTGATTGGTTATAAACATGTAATTGAGAGAAGTAGGCATAGGTAAACAAGTATTTTCAAAAGAGGAAGTGTTGGGCTGAGCCACTGTCATGTATTCGCTAAGTATAATGATATCTCAGCAAATAGAAAAGGTAGGAGGTTCTTATTTTATATTCATAAGAAACTATAGATTTTGTATTGTGGGTATCATAAAATGAAATTTTAATAAAAGCAGGAAATGATGTACCATATGATACAAAAAATTTATATTTAGCATTTTTTTTGTATTTAATTTTAAATTAAGAAATTTAATAATGTTTAGAACTAATACTTGAGTTATAAACTACAATTTCAAACCAAAATTATTGACATACAATCATGATATATTAGTTTAATAAAATTTTTGATGTAAGTTTTTAATGTAATCCATATGTGATGATATGCCCTCTGACCCTACCCGTAAGTAAAAGGGTTAATGTTGTGTTTCACACTCTCACGTATGCCCTGTTCAAACCATTTGCTTCTTGTTCTTTAAACCACCTTCTTCTTAAAACTTGTTTCCTTCTACTTCTTGCATGTGGTTGCCATCATTCTAGTATCTATGCTATTGATGCTTCTAGCTCTCTCTTCCACTGCACTTATTTACTCCTTTACCTGGACTGGACTTTCCTTCCCAAGACTTAGGCCACCCGGGAAGGTGACCATACATTCTCTCCTATCTCCATTTTTTCTATCTCTCACCTCTATGATTGTTCAGACCTTGATCAGCTACTATATCCAATTTTAGCTGTTTGGCATTATTTATTACAAACTTCACCCTTTTGAGATCCCAGCCGTTTCTTGTTTCTTCACTGCAACCCTTCTTCTTCTAGGGACCTCTCGCCTTCTACCCTTGGATGGGCCCATCATTTCCTCTGGTTGGCATATTCTTCCCTTGATGTTGATACTTGCAGGCTGTTTCATATTTCATTACATCAGATTTGTCACCTGTCTCATTTTCGTCAAAGCTTGGACAGGATCCTCCATACTGGCACATGAATGATTTCCCACATGTGTGTTGCTCATTATCTTCATTGTCTAGCTGTTTCGAATCCCCTCCC